ACCGGCAATTGACTTCTGACTTCAAACTACCATGACCCGATTGCATGTCATATTAGACCACTTCACGGTACTCACCTCACCTTTTCCCTACCTTTTTGTCTGTCTCGTTTATATATGCGAATCTCTCTTCTGTTCTCCCCCCCCTCGACTTGCCGTGACTTTGATGTTCCTCCTCTCTGTGAAGACCGAAGTCAACTAAAGGGCTAATGATGGCTACCATTAAGCCTGCCATTTGATATAAACAAATATTTTGGCAGAAGTCAGACAAAGTAGTTCATCCTCCAACTTCCATAATTGAAGAAACCGTATCCAAACGTCCCCTTAGAGACACGAGTAGCAACTTAAACTGAGAGATCTATATCTCCAACTACGCTTACAAATAGGTTCCAAATCTGTTGATGCGAAAAACCTTTCTCAAACTAAACTTGAGCGGATTGAGGAGCATCATGGAGCCACATTCTGCAACCGATTACCAGACCTCGGAATCCATTGATCATTACACCACCAAGTTTGAAATCAAACCCGATCCACTTGAATTAAATTTATAGTTATGTGGAATACAAGACACCTCTCCTGTAGAGAGAGCCCTTTCCACCGCTCCCTCACGAAGAAATGCAACATGGTAGGCGTAGAGCAATAATGCCTGCCCTTCTGTATCTGCCTACGTCGACATCATATTTTGACGAATCCCGAAGACCGAGAGGAACAGGGGAGGGAAGTAATTTTTGGTAGCAAAAAGGCGTAGGCTGTGAAGTGGCTAATGATGTTAGAGAGTTAAACAACTTGGGCAAAAAGTATAGACTGAAATGAAGACGGAGGGGGAGGGAGGAAGGAGGAACCATTTGCAAATTTTGCCCAGAAAAGGGCATTCAAATCTTAAACATTCCCATAATTCCAATTTTGCACATAAATGGACACGAATTAGGTGAGGGGGGGGGGTGGGGAGGGGGTTGGAGGAGAATTAATGTAAATACACATACTGCATTCGTTCATATTCACCCCGTGAGTGAACTCTATGCTCTGTTAGCTCTGCTGTGTTAAGACGGCCTCGCAGGGGCAGGATTTAGCCATGGAAAAACAAATTTTGAAAAATGAATTCAGCATTAAGTGGGTATTATGCAACCCGAATCCATAAGACATAATGAAGGAAGCCGCAACGATGTTTCGATTTTAGTATTACCAACTTCTCCCTCAATCTCTTTCTCTCTTCTACATCTCTTACGGGATTACCTGTTGACAGATTTTAATTGATTTTCCAACAAAAATCTATTGCACCACTTTGTTCTGCTTTGGATTCTACGACTACTAGAAAGCAACGCGACGATGACGAGAAGAGGCTATCATAATTAATGACCAAGATCAATAAGGTAGATAGCCTCATACTGTCATATAAGGGGAGATAAACCAATGTATCTAATTGGGCGCCCACGAAATATCCATTGAACTAATGCTACAGACCATGACTGACGTAATATCTTCAGAATGGAGAAATCCCAATTGCAATGGCATAAAGACGACTGATTAAAATGAAACTTTAGTATTTACACTGATAGCCATTTTATTCACTAGTCGTCTAAACTGACAAGACATCAGATAAATAGATCCCCCGCACTATTTACGTTGCTACTGAGAAGGTGAAAGCGAGATAAAAGGTAGAATCACCAACAGGGCATAGGAATCAACTTGGCAGCGATATGGCTGACCCATATGGGCGATAAAGGGAGAAGTGAGGAGCGAGGTTAAGTCCAATCATATCAACTCCCGGGGGGATCAGAAGTAGTCAATGTGATAAGGTAGTTGCTGTATCTCATTCAAGCACTCTTTCATGTTTCTTGGTCCATATTTTTGCCTTATATACCCTTATGTAATTCAATTCCAAGCTGTCTTGCTCATAAGAAACTCAAAGTGATTGCTTACTTAGGTCACTCCCAACAGACGAGTATGGAGATCCCTTACGGGACACACATGGGCCGTTCTCCAACCCCCTCCCCCCGCAAGTTCCAAAGCAACCTGATATAGGTTGTCATTTTAAAGAAATAGAACAAGGTACTAAAAGTGCATTTGTTTAATGCTAGTTGAATTCAATACGATTCGAGAAAGTTGAACACCCACGCGTTGTTTAAGAGAAAGTCTTATAGTCTAGAAAATTCCAGAAAGCGAACAGTCAGTAGTCGTAGGGCCTACTACTCTATTATAGTAGTATGATCAGGTGAAATTATACTAAAATGGTAGTGAAATAAGAGACGTTATTAAATTAATACTCCTAGTTTATCATATCTAATCGATACTTACTTTAGCTCTCCATACTTCAGTAGTATGGCTATTAAAGTTGAAAGGAAAGTTATGGGTAATGAAAGTTCCATCCCAGCTCATTAAATTCATCCCTCTTTTGCATAAATTTAGCAGTCATAAAAGGCACATGGGATTCCCAGGGTAGAGTGACTTTAGAAGACAAAAAAAGGGAAGAGGAATGAACCCCTGTACTTTATGCTTGTCCTAATTCTAGTAAGTTCTTGATCACGTGATAATGGTCCGCCTACTCTTTAAGACAGGCGCACATGCGCAAAGCAGACTGCGCCGCACATTTTGAAACGCCCGCGGAGGTGAACCATTGGTTAGCACAACTAACAACCAATTGGAAAAATATGCTCTGAAAACTCTTAGGGGAAGCAGAAAGTACGACAATGCAAAATCAACGCACGCTCTCTCCCTCTCTCTGAAATATTCTAGAGGTTTCGATCTGACGACTTTGCGAAATCCTAAATGTCGACAGAAAAGGCAAAACTTAATGTCACATGATGTGTACGCGTATCACTACACTCGAATGAGCGACAAATCACGACATTGCTCCTAAATATGACTTCAATTAGAGTCAAAAAAGTGGCCTCAATACGGTCTTAGCTACACACCACCTCCCAAACCTAGAGCAAGCTGATCTCAATAAGTACTTCAGTTCTGTCCAGTAATTGAGTGTATGTAGTACGGATGAGGAGAGTAGCTCATTATCATCAGCGTCCAAAAGATACACAATAATCTGGGGGGGGGGGGGGGGGGGGGGGGGAGGGAGGAGGAATGGAGAGAGAGCAAAAGAGTTTGGAGGTCAAGTACACATTGGGACTGGAGTACTCGCAAAAAAATTGAACCGGAACCACTTTCGACTTTTCCTCGTGGTGTGGCAGAAGCCTGAATCTTGATACTGTCTCATACATGACCTATTATTGGCTACCCTGGTTCGTTATCTAGGGATTTACTACAGTAATCAGCAATTCCATGAAGGCAACGGAATTAAGCATAAGCCCCCCTCCCCTTTCAAAACATGCCAAGAGAGGCATCAAATTGCATCCGAAAAACATCACAGACCAGAGGGGAGGGGGGGGGGAATCAGTCAGCATGAGACTCAATGAGTGTCTCTTCTCCCGCGTGTTGTGCCCTTCATCTTGCCTAAAGAACTCCTGTCGAAAAGACCTACATGGCTTAAGTGAGATGTCTCACTTTGGCAAAACTTTTCTTACTCTTCCGTCAGACAATTTCGGAAGATCGTTTCCGTGAGAAGTTTACCTATGGGGTGATTATATGAGCGTGAAGTAGGGCAGGTTCTCATTGCTCGTGTCAGCGCAGCACAAATTCTAACGCCACAGTGCTCTAACATTCACGCATAGAAGATTTCATTAAATCATTTACGAGTATCCGCCTCATTTACAGATAAAGAATCTTGAAGGAGTGAAAAATTATCAAATTCCTCACCTCCCATATACTCAGCAGTTCATCGATAGGATCAAATAGATGCCGATTATGTGGCCTGCAATTTGACGGATAGTGGAAAGGCTATTCGCGTAATAAAGTTAAGAAGTTAGCGCTTCCATAAGGAAAGGGAAAATGACAAGCCTCTAAACCTAAACTTCAGGAAGATAATTGAACCCTCCCCCCCCCCCACCCCTACTAAAATAGCGTGTCAATTTTTAATTAAAAATTAATTTTCCGACGGGCAATAATAGCCGTCCAGGGAGTTGATTGAGGAAGAAATTATACAAGTAGACGAGTGTCGGACGAGAGGAAACGTTGACTTCAAAAAAAGCTTTAGTAGAACATCTCGACAATGTTAGGAAAATTTCTATTTTGAATACAGTTAAGAATTCCTCCTTTTTGAGCTTAATTATGTTTTGGGACTAGAAGTGGATCGTTTAAGATAACAATATTCTCCAAACTAACACGCACACACCCCCACTGTACTAAGACAGGTTGTGGCTCTTCTGAACTTACCTCAAAATTGGGTGGACTAAAATAGAAACTAAAAGGATAACACGTCTAAGTGCATTTAGCAGGAAAAGGGTAATACTTCATTATGACAATGACCGCCTGACCGGTCTCCCAAAGCAAGAATGTCCTCCCAAAAAGGTAAAAATTCAATTCGGTGATCCTACCACATCCTACCCATTCGACAGATACCGTCCCATTCCCCATTATCACATTTTCAGGTCCATGGGCCAGAGAAAAACGGTGTCAAAACACGACTGAAGACGTAAACCACTTGAATGCGCGTCTTTTAAGGGGATCGAAAAAACCCATATGAGCAACAGGAACTAATTGAAAACGATGGAGGGAATTATGTTTAAATAGAGGGGTGCGCGATAGACATACCTCCACGTGGTGCACCCTGGGCAACGTATACTCATACGGCAAAAAGTCTACAAACCGTCAGTTGACTTCTAACTACCATGACCCGACACTATGTGATATCACACCACTCCACAATACCCATCTTACCTTTTTTCTACCTTTGTGTCTGTCTGTCTGTCTGTCTCTTTTACATTAGTGAATTATTATTCTATCTCCTCCTCTCTGTGAAACCCGAAGTCAGCTAAAGGGCTGATAATAACCATCAAAACGCTACCGTTTGAAATATTTAAATAGTACCATAAACATAATTTAAAAAAAACCCCAATAATGTCCTGAAAATGGGTGATTTCTTACTGGTATCCATAGTATTAGATCTAAGAAGCCTCTCTGTTCAAATACTATTTCGTTGATGTTGTCCCGTAAGAAGAAGTGCAATGCCACAATCATTAAAAGACACCTAATGTCACGAAAAATTAATCTACCCTCTAAGTCCCAGGCGGAAAGAATGAATTGACATGTAAATACTGACTATCACAGTTAATCGATCGGTAAATAAGCTCAAAATGTCAAAACATTGCGTCTGCCGTGGATATTGCATATATTCTGAGACCATGAGTTCAACAAACAAGCAGAACTCGTGAACACTTTGAACTTAATCCAAATTATAATCGAACTTTACACTCCATTCCCTCTATTAGTCATTGGACTCACTTCTGACCAGTTTCAGTAACTCTACCACAACTAAAAAATTTATCGACTTTCTGTAGAAAGAACTACTAATCGTTGACTCACTGGTTGGAAAAGTGTGAGAGGCCCGCAATGAAGTGAGAGTAGGAAGGGCAGTTGGTCGAATTCCGGGTGAGAAAACACCAGATGAGGATGCCGATGTAGACGAGGAGACAGGCGAGGCGTCGTGTTGCATTGGGGAAGCAGTCTGGAGCCCCGCGGTGGTACCTGTAGCAGTAGCTGCAACAGCAGCTGCAGCCGCCGCTGATTGGAGGAAAGTGCGTCCCAAAGTCATCTCAGAGTCGGCATGGGCGAATGCACAAAATGGCCCTCGTGGACAGTATCCAGAATTGAGTACATCGTTACATTTAGTGGATTTGTAGATCTACAATAATGAAGTAAATAGTCGAAGCCAAATACCATTCGCGATGGACAATCTCAAGTATATGCTATTTTTAGGCATTTAATCAGTGATTCGTACTGTGAATCAGGAAATATACAGTGTTAAAAACCGGGCAGAAGGAATATGAAAAAATATGTATATTTTGAGTATTGAGAGAAGTGCGTGACATCGACGGAGCATTGGTCACCGTGTAAGAGCGCGCCACATCGCACTTATCCTAAGTAGGCTCTAGAGTTATCGAGAGGGGAGATAGTTGACACAATTGTAGATGCTCTATTTCTTTTCAGTGAGAAATTAAATACCTCCTTATACAACTTAAGGGGTGTGCGATAGACTTACCTCCACGTGATGCACCC